CCAGTGCCAGTTAACCCTTCCCTCCCAGTGCCAGTGCCAGGCCCTGCCTGGTTAACCCTTTCCGCCCAGCGTCCCTGCTGTACACCCCCCCCCATCTCTGCTCATCACCGCCCGTTAGGGCTCAGGGCCATGCCGCACTCTTTACTGAAGGGCCGCGCTCTGGCCCCGGGGACTAGCTGGAACCTCTGGGCCGGGCTGTGCCCGGGGAAGCAGGGGCCCCACATTCCAGCCCCTCCTCCTGCTGCTCCGAGCCTGGAACGGCTCCGGCTGGGCCGTGCTCCAGGGCCCCGCCGATTAGCACAGCCCTGGCGCCCTGACAGCCCCGTCACAAGGCCGGGCCCTCCTAGAAGCTATTTATGAGTCAGCCGGACGCAGGACCTTCGGATGGCCCCGGGACCTGCCTGTGGCCCCCACCCTCAACATCCTTCCCGCTGCACGGGCTGGGGACAGCGCCTCCCGCTGGCTGGGGCTTGGCCTCCCTTAGCGCCCCCCCACCCCATCTCTATGTTACCCTGGTTACCAATGGAGGGTCGGACCCACAGGTGCCCCCCATGGGGCTAGACCTAGACTCCCCCACACCTGCACCCCATGTCTAATCCCCCCTGATCCTATGAGAGGGGCTTGACCCCCAAGTGAACCCCATGTCTAACCCCCCTAGACCCTATGAGAGGGGCTTGACCCCCAAGTGAGCCCTATGTTGCTGACACCCCCCCACCCCCACTGCAGAGGAGCTGATCCTTCTTTCTCCACCCCATGCCACCCCCACCTTCCCTGGACTGGTGGGGCTGTCAGCTGAGTTGGGGGGGTGGGGTAAGGGGGGGGTCACACCTACCCTGCTGGAACCTGGCACCCGGGTGCTCTCTCGCCTCCCCAGCGCCCTCAGCAGCATCTCCACTGTGTGCCTGGGCTTCATGGCCGCAGGCGCGGTGCTGGGCTGGCCAGAGGCTGAGCCCCCGTCCCCTTCTTGGCTCAGAGCCCCGGCCCGGCCGGAGAGTGCGCCCGCCCGCCCGCGCCGACGCAGCCCCTTCCAGGGTGGCACCAGACGGCACGGTGGGCTCAGCCCGTCCCAGCCCCAGAGGTCTAACTCCCCCGGCAGCCCAGCCCGGTCAGAGCCGGAGGGGGCCAGGGCGCGTGGGATAGGATGTGAGGCTGGAAACAATGAGCCAGAAGCCGGCCCAGGGGCTGGGATCAGGACGAAGGGACGAGCTGGTGTTTCCTGACTCACAATAGCCGCTTCCCTTCACGCTGAGGTCACGGCGAAGGCCACCGCGGGCGGGGCCCTGCCTGCCAGGACACGGCTGGGCCTGGCTCTGGCCCGGCGACCCCACGCGGCTCGGAGCATGTCATCGGCGAGGCTCGCACGCGGCGCCGTGGGCCAGGCAGGGCTGAGCTCCGACGCACTTGTGACACCCATGCCGCTGCTGGCTCCTTCCCAGAGGCAGCCAGGAAATGCCTTCTGGCCCCGCCCCGGGCTTTATCTCCAGGGTTTTCAGTGTCAGGCCTAGAGGGGTCGGCAACGCGGTTGTCAGGCCCCAAGCATGGACGGGAGCCCCCTGCCCCCACTTTCTCTCCCTCCCTCCCTGAGAGTCAGGGCCTGACACCTTCTCCCTCCCCACGCACAGGAATAATTCATTCCTCCCCCCAGCAACAGATCCCATCCCCCCAGGCCAAGAGCTCCCACCCCCACTCAGAGACCCCCCTGGCCTGGGATTCCCGCTTTCACTTCTCCCTTCCACCCAAGAGTGGAATTCAGCCCCCTGTAAGGACACACCCGTGGGTGGATCATGGTGGGATTCGAACCCAGGGCCGCTGGATGTCAAAGTAGCCCATCCTACTGCATGTGCTCACGGGACAGTTCTCCTAGCACAGTTCCTCAGCCTCGGGGGGGTTGGCCCACTCGAGGAGCACGGCGCAGCCCTGCGAGTGGACGGGGGGGTGAATCCTGAACACCCTGTTTTCTTTTCTGACCCATTCAGTTGCCCCTCCAGGGATGCAGAGCCACTGAGCAAGAGGCAACCAGCCACGGGGCCCTTCACTGCTCCTAAACAAGCATCCCCCTCCGGTCACCGTGTGCTGGCTCAGAGCTGGGGATCCTGGCTCGGGCAAGGGGGCGGATCAGGCAAGTTTGGGCCGATAGCACCCACCGCGTGCCAGGCGCTGTACAGACATGGAACAAACCAAGCTCCTGCCCCCAAGGCGGAGAGTCCACGTGGCCCAATGCACAGGCCAAAGCAGCGAGGAGGGATGGGGGCAGATCACGGCAAAGGGTTGGCAGGCAGCACGGGAAGGGGGGCTCCTTCCTGGGTAACCAGGGCGATCTCGGGGCAAACTGACCGGGAAGGGCCCCCAGGGGGAACCGTCTCCCCGCACGGCTCCCCCTTCCAAGCCAGAGTGGACACAGCTCTGGAGAATGAATTGCAGGGCACAATTCTGCCCTGCCTCCCTGGAGACGGACCCCAATTGCTCTCTGCCATCCTCCCCCTTCCCTGCTCCGCACTTGTCCCCCTGCTCCCGGCCTGATGCCTCTGCTGTGTCTCTCCGCTTCGCCGGGGCCGCAGGCACCTTGGGAGGGTGCCAAGGGGCTGCCACTGGAGTCTTGTGACCTGCTAATTAACCAGCCCCTGGCAAATTCCCGCTGCTCTTCCCTACCGCCCTGGCCCTGGGTTAACTGCTCTGCGGGGAGTGGAGCTCTCGTGCAGACCCAAGTTCCCCCGGCCCTGAGTTTCTCCAACGCTCCCCTCAGGTCAGTCCTGCTGCCCGTCCCCTGGAGAACCCCCTGCACGTGCCCTGCAAAGAGCTCCGGGGGCCTGCAGGACCTCCCTGCGCTTTGAGACCGGCCTGCTCTAGAGGTCAGGGGACTGGCCTGCGGCTCAGGACAGCTGGGGTCTAGGCCCGGCTCCACCTCTCCCGCTGGGTGACCTGGGGCGAGTCATGGCCCCGTTCTGTGCCTCAGTTTCCCC